AATGTGTGGTCCGAGTCTTAATTGTTCTGCATCTCATGCCAGACAGCAACAGTTCAAAAAAGTTATAAGCAGGATGGGAAAAGTCTCTAAGGATGTTGTGTGACTTCCTCAGACAGTGGGATGTAAAGATGTAATCCAGCTGGAGCCTGATGATATTCTGGGCAATTGTAATGGTTCTGTGTGAGAATGCCATAGGTTAGGACACTCTCAATGGTGATATGATAGTAGGACAGAAGTAAATGCTGAGATAAATTTAACTTCCCAAGCATTCTCAGGAAATAAAGCCTCTTCTGTGCCTTCTTCACTAGCATGTTGGCATTTATATTCCATGAGAGGTCCTCTGAAATGTAAGTGCCCCAAAATTTAAAACTACCAACTCTCTCCACTTCCTCACCATTTATGTACAGTGGTAAATGTTCATTTCTCTTCCTCCTAAAATCAATGATGAGTTCATACATTTTTTTGATGTTAAGTGTAAGATTATTTTCTTTACACCAGAGTATGAACTCTTGTACTTCCTTTCTGTAAGCAGACTCATTGTTCTTATTTATGAGCTCCACCACTGTCATATCATCTGCAAATTTAATAATTGTGTTGGTGTTATACAATGGGGTGCAATCATGTGTGTACAGGGAATAGAGGAAGGGACTTAGCACACAGCCCTGGGGAGCTCCTGTACTTAGTACCAAGGCAGAAGAATTGTGTGATCCCATCCTTACTGACTATGGCCTATCTGTCAGAAAGTCCTTTACCAACACACAAATCTTCTGAGGTACCCCCAGGTTTATCATTTTTCATTCAGCTATCATTTTTTCATTATTTAATTGAAAAAGAGGAAGCATGCTGCTTAATAAATTGGAAATATACAAAAAAGGGAGAAGAACAGGAAGGATAAGGTTGTTTACTTAATACAAGCAGAGCTCAGTTTACTCCTGAGAACAGCAGATTTCCTATAATGAATATGTCAAACCCAGATCAAAACTTTGTTATTTCTAAGAGACCTGTTTCCTTCCTGGAAATCCCACCATCCACAAAACTGAGACTGGTTATTCCCATGCACTCAGGTATCTCTGTTTTCACTGAATGTTTAGATTAAAAGGATAAGATGTAACAGAAGTGCAAACTATGGGTGGAGAGCACACAAATTAATCTTCTAATCAAGATTGGCTCTTGTGATGCTGTAACTTTATTTTATTTATTGTATTTATTGTATTTATATCTTCTCTGACAGAAAAAAAAACCACATCCATATTTTTCTTCTTTAGTCCCTTTCCACAGTAGACAACACTAACTGGTGCAAAAAGCTCTGTGCTCAACCATAAATCCCTCAATACATCCATAGAACATGCTGGAGAATTATTTTTAGCATCAAAACTTTATCCAACAGCTCCTGCAAACAGGAATATATGCATATAAGAGCATCTGTTGTGCACCAGCAGACAGAACATGTGGAGCATTTAAGCAGCTCCAGATGTAACTATACAAAGAAAGAGTAGAGAAACTGTTAGTTACAAGTTATATAAAAAGCACTAGGATTTATCCTGGGTAAGCACCTACCTTCTAATGCATTTCCAGTCAAGCAAAAATACATATTGCACATTTCAACTATTCAGATGCCTTCACATGCTTCCCTTAGTAATTTTTAAAAGAGTGCAGTTACAATAAATGTCAGCCTACTTTTTTTTATTCTAACATTTATTTTTCTATTACTCTTCTTAATATATATCCCATGGCAGTTTACATTTGCAATAAACAACACAAGAAAGCAGGAAAAGTATTTCAAACCACAGCATAAGCTGTGCAATAAAACTAAAAGTGTTTAAAAAGAATATATGAGGCAGTAAAAAGGCCACTATAATTTAATGTATTCTTGAAGGCTTTCACAACCGGGATTTGATGGTTGTTGTGGGTTTTTCGGGTTCTTTGGCTGTGTTCTGAAGGTTGTTCTTCCTGACAGGTGAAACGTCAGGAATCACTATAATTTGTTTTTATAAAACTGCTTGGTGCCTAAAATATCACAGAGGAGCACCAGATAGGCTCCTTAAGGAATGAGTGCCACAACTAGATTGACAGCTTAAGATGTGCAGGTTTGTATTTTTAAAAAAAACTACAACTCCCAGATTTCTGAAACTGCTCTTCTGACTTGAGTCTTCAATCCTTATTTTGAAATGTATGTTTAATTTCACAAAACAAAAAGAAAAGCTGACCTACACATCTTGGCAAGATTTTTGGAACTTTAAATTTTTTTCTGCACCATCCTCAGCATCCTACAAGTGGAGGACAATGTTGTCTGGAGCCCCCATAACATCCAGCGAATGAGACAGAGGGATGCCATGATCTTAAAACAAACAAACAAACAAACAAAAACCTCCATCTAGAACAAACCCTAGTTCAGAGGAACGGACAATGTTGTCTGGAGCCCCCATAACATTCAGCGAATGAGACAGAGGGATGGCATGATCTTAAAACAAACAAACAAAAACCTGCATCTGGAACAATCCCTAGTTCAGAGGAAAGTTTTTCTCAGAAGACCAAAAACCTCAACCCTTATTTTGTCCGGGACATCCAGATCTTTCTGGTATAATTCCTCTGTGTATGTATTCTTGCCACCTCTTCTTGATGACTTCTGCTTCTGTGAGGTCCCTACCATGTTTGTCCTTTATCATGTCCATCTTTGCACAAAGTGTTCCTTTAATATCTCCAATTTTTTTTAAGAGATCTCTGGTTTTTCCTTTTCTATTTAATCAGCCCTAATAAAAGGCATTATACAGTATACTGTTCCTCAGGGAGATGGTTCTGAAAGTGAAAGGGATGAAAAGAGGAACACATTCATCTGCCATTCTGTACTGGTTTCTCATGGCAGAAGTGGCAGTTATTCTTAGGAATGGTAACATAATATAGATCATCATTATAGGAAGAAGACTCCTCTTTCTAACCACCACCAGCTGTGCTGCCCATCAAACTGCAGAGGTGCCCAGGATTACCAGAATGTTAATATCTCTGCCAAGGGGGAGGGAGGGGAACCCAACTTATGTTTGGCTTGTATGTCACATAGCAAAGTCAGTTTCTAAGCAAAGGGCAGAGTCAGATCTCGTGCCATTTGCAGGGTGACAGGAAGCACTCTTGCGGTTCTCTGAATGGACATACAAGGTATTCAAAACAAGATCCCCTGCTCCCCATTCAGGAAGAAGAATAAGATGACAGTGCTACTGCATGAGACAGACAGCTAATTTCATGCCCCCTCCACTTTCAGACAAGACCACATGCCCATCCTGACTGCACAGAAGGAGACTCTGAGCCCAGGGCAAATCACAACAGCTGCCTGATTTCACAGATGCACTGCAAACAATCAGTCCTTCTTTTTCCCCAGGGGATGCAGAGAAGCCATTTCCATTCTTCCTGAGAAATCAATTTGTATAAGGTAGAAGCTTTCACTGATGCTATTTTTCTTTTCATTTAGAGAACGGACTGACCATCTGCAGAAATCCAGGGGCCACACCTTACCATCCCTGAATCTTGTAGAGCCACACATACTCTCTACATGCCCTCCCCAATATTCTCCAATTCTTACTGTTCTTTCCAAATTCTTATCATTTTTGTTTTTTAATTGAAAAATCCATTTGTGTCTTCTAGTGACATTTTTGGGAGGTGTGGGGAGCCCAAGAGTTCTAGGGGAACCATGTACAATAAACAATTTCCAAAAGCAGTAATGAAATACAACCAACACAAAACAGAACACAAAGTGGTAAGACTGCAGGTTCTCTTTACATTAAGAGTAGCAACCAAAACACTAGGTGAGTTACACATTAAAAGCCCATTGAGAAATGAAGTTTTTTTAGATTCTGCCAAAAGCCTGGTGTGCAAAATTATTTCAGCTGTAACTGTTAATGGTTTATAATACTTGTAATATCTAATACTTATTTTTAAAAAAAACAGAAATAAATAAAATGAATATACTGTATATAAAGAGGGAGCCTGGTTAATTTTAATTGAAAGCACATTCCAGAGTTGTAGCATTGTAGCACTGCCAGAGAGATGTCTTTGTTCACTTGTCAAATCTCCTGATATGACAAGTAGACAGAACTTCTAATGCTAAAAAATCCTTCTCCTGCAGAACTACAAGTAGGCAGGACACAAACTAGTTTACCATACAGACAGGGAATTTCCTTATCTCCTTTTTGTTGCCAATTTTGTTTCACATACTCCCTCCTGAACTGTTTCTGAATCCATCAGTGTTTCAAGGAGAACATTCAAAGTATTTCAAATTCATTGTGAATAAAACTCAGAAAGTTATTTGTAGAAAATAATTAGTTACAGTTGTAATATCATTGTTTTGTGTCATCAAGCCTCTTCTGGAGCACCCCTATAAATTCGTGACCTCCAAAAGGTCCTTAATTAACAGCTTTGATCATAACTTGCAAACAAGGCCATGAGTTCCTTTCTGAGGACAATGCATTTCATTTTTGGTCTTTCTAATTTCCTAGCTCCTTCAGCTTTTCCCAGCGTTGTTATCGTTTCCAGTCAGTCTTGTTCTTCTCATCATGTTCCCAAAATACAACCTCAATTGAGTCATTTTTGCTTGCCCCACTAAAAACATTATGATTTTTAAAAGTAACTCCCATTTCTTAAAGTTGGCTATAATAATCACTTTAATTCCATTTTCTGAAAATCTGAACACTGCAAATTGATGGGAGGCCTCTAATCCCCAAACACTTCCCTTCCATCAGCCTCCCTGTCACTTCAACAGACTATGAAATATAGTAGGTAAATTGGCTATATAACTATAGTACTGTAGTGTATAAAAATATACTAAGTAAAAAAGTAGTGGGGGGAAAGAACTGATTACATTGCTATTTGTAACTAGTTATTTACAAGCTGTGGAACAATTCAGTTGCATAGTTGCTTACCAGTTGTTTGTTGAAATTTTGCACACACTGTTCAAATTGCTCATCTTTTGTTTCATCAGCTTTGCCAAGTTTCTGGAGAACCTAGACATGATACACAAAAAGAGAACAGAGAAGAATCTTTAAAACCATAAAATCACCAGATTTAGTAGCATTAGTGAGAGAAAATGGGAGACCGGAAAGAGGAAGAAACTGTGGTTTCAGTTGTACTGATTGATGACAGAACACAAGACTTAGATTCAGTCACTGGCATTGCCAATTAAGAATCTATAAGGTAGGATAGCTGTTAAATACCATGGTCTTGTATAGCCAATGCCAAATGAGTGAATACTAGAAAAGATAGATGAGTCTGACATTATAAATCAGCCCCACAGCACCACTTGGAGATGTGGGGGCAGTTTCTCAGCACCACCATTATAATATGTTTTCTCACCTACATTGCAGATATAGTAATGGTACTGTACTAGTCTATTTAAGAGAAGAGCTTTTCAATTGCTGTCGGTAATCTTAATTCCATATGCAGGGAGTCTACAACCGATCTAGGGTGTGTAGATCTACTACACATGAAGGCAAAGTGTGGCTTTTCAAATATTGTCGGGCTGTGACTCCCATCCATTTTAGGTAGCACAGCCAGTGGTGAAGAATGCTGGGAGCAAGAATTAAACATCTGGGGGGCCAACTTTGCATATCCTTGCTCTACAATGTGTACAGGAAAACTATCTGGGCTACAGAGATCAGGGTATATTTACTTGTCTAGCATGTGCTAGAGGGACCTGAGGACAGTGAAAAATTCCAAGAGCAGGACAGTAACCATCCATATTACTACACAAATCCCCAATCAGAAACTTCAGAGCATCTCTTCACACAACATGAGATATTTTCTGAAAGAACAGAACAAGGAGCAAAAAAGGTTGTGATTTAACGTTGGGCAAAATATTACAGTGGTTCCAATCATTCCTGTCAGAACATATGCAAATAGCGGTGTTGGGGGAGCACTGCTGAACACTCTGGCCTCCGACCTTCCTCAGAGCTCCACCTAACTCCATATTGTTTTACATCTCTATGTACCAAATCTATCTCTCACATTTGGTCTTTGGCAATGGTGCATTCACAGTTATATGGTGGACATCAATTCAGCCAGGCAACACAACTTAGTTGAGGAAGTCCACCAACAGCATGCACAACTTATTTTCCTTCATGGTCTCTGTGACTCTCACATATGGGTTCTCATGTAGATTCTCATTTAAAATTTTCAAAAGCTTTGTAGTCTCTTGGCAGGAACCCCACCCTCATTCATCTGTCATTACATGCATCAACACTCAGCCTTTTTTTATCCAGTGACCAGCAATGAGTGAGAACAAATTTCATAGACATAGCCATTTAATAGCACATTTCATCTACAAGTTTTTCATTCCAAGGTTATTGCGTTTTCCTGTTCCCCTCTTCAAGCAACGTATAGTCTGTAAGGAGCAAAAAACCTTCTTTGTAAAGACAGGCTCTGGATGTAATGGTCTTCTTTAATGTGGGTTGTCCTCTCTCCAGATGGCAAAGCGTAGATATACTTTTTATTTGGATCCCTGCATTATACAGGGGATTCAATTTGATGGCCTTACAGGCCCCTTCCAACTCCATTATTCTATGATTCAATGATACTTTGTACTGAATGTCAGTGAGGAACGAAAGTAATCTCTATTCTCATTATGTTGTCACCAGGAGGGCCTAGAACACTATGGCAACCAGCCAGAACTCTCTCAAAACTAAGAGTGCTTCTTGACAATGAAGTTCACCCATGATTGCAAGGGGGACAAGTTTTAATCAGCATACTTCATTTATCAGCCACCACTTTTTAACACTCCTTGCAAGGTATGAAGTACTCTTGAGTTACCACAGATACAATTCTTTTTCCTGCATGACTAACCCAGGACTGTTCAGCTTCAGTGCATACATGGGGTAAAAGCTGTAGGAACGCTATCTCCAACAGCTGCAGCACATAGTGATTGGTTTAAGCTATCTCCCTAGCCTCCCTCAAAAAAAACCCTCCTAAGGATTATATCATATGAAGACTGGAAGTCCTGCTATTTAGCATAATATGTTGTACTAGAGTTGTTGTTGTTTAGTCGTTTAGTTGTGTCCGACTCTTCATGACCCCATGGACCAGAGCATGCCAAGCCCCGCCATCCTCCACTGCCTCCCGGAGTTGGGTCAAATTCATGTTGGTAGCTTTGATGACACTTTCGAACCATGTCATCCTGTCGTCCCCTTCTCCTCTTGCCCTCACACTTTCCTAACATCAGGGTCTTTTCCGGGGAGTCTTCTCATGAGATGGCCAAAGTACTGGAGCCTCAGCTTCAGGATCTGATTAAAATGGGCATACTCTCATTGCAACTTATTTCATTAAAGAAAGTTGCAACTTGGGCACAAAATATAGGACATAATATTGATATTGATCAATGGTTGCAAATATGGCGAAATAATATAAAGCTTACAACATCGGTTAATTTTAAGGAGAACATATATAAGATGTTTTATAGGTGGTATGACTCCAGAAAAATTGTCGAAGATGTATACAGATGTATCAAATGTCTGCTGGAAATGTGAAGCACACGTGGGAAGCTATTGTCATATGTGGTGGACTTGTAGAGTAGCGAAACAATATTGGATAGGAGTGCATACTGTGTTACAACAAATATTGCTTTGTAAGGTTCCATTAAACCCAGAACTGTTTTTATTAAGTATGATACCAGATAAAATAGATACAGTAAAGCAAAGAAATGTATAGCTATATATATAGTCACCGTACCCATAATTCTCTATGCCAAAAATTGGAAAAGTACGGTGGTACTGAAGCAAGAAGATCTTACGGAGAAGATAAGGGAAACGGCGGAAATGGACATTCTATCAGAAGTGATGGAGGACTGTCCTTTACGAAAGGCAACTGAAAGATGGGACTTATTCTACAAATGGTTAGAGTCACCAGATAGTGCTTGAATGACGTAGATTGAAATGTAAATTAAAATTTGGAAGGCAGAAAATAGTAGAAAAGCGGAGTTTGGATTTTGATACTGCAATATGAATAGAATGGATGTTAGTATATTTTTGTTTCTCCTCCCCTCCAACTCCAACCCCCCTTTTTTCCCCTTTTACCTTCTGTATCCCAAACCCTAACCCAAGTTATCAAAACAATAAAAAAAAGTTGCAACTTGACTAGGCCCATTCAATTCGGTGGAACTTAAAGAGAAGTTGACTCACCAAATCTTCATGAATTCAGCAAATCTGTTCTGGTACAACTTACTACACTAAGCAACATAATTTCAACCACTGACCATTGTTTTTTTGAGGCCTATATGTCAAATGTTTTACACGCGCACCTCAAAATATAGCATGTTAACACAACACATATGAAGATCATTCAGTTAAACGTACCAGGAATTTGGACTGAGCAGTATCTACTTCTCACCTTTATACAGATCTTATTTTCTAACAAGTAAAAAACAGTGTGAAGCCAGTGAATGTACTGTATATCCTAGTTCTACATACAGTTTTATGCTTTTATTCTGAACCAACCAGTTTACGGCTTATTCCCAAACAGAAGTAGCAGAGTAAGAGGAGCTGAGGAAAAAGTAATACATTCCAGTCTTTCAAACCAAGACCCACCTCAGAGTATATCTTGAAAGCTGCATTTCAGTGGTGGGCAGGGCCAAAAGCAAAAAGATGGGATCCAAAATAATAGCTGAAGCATTTACTATCAGTTACTAGGCCTTAGAAGAGGGTCTGCAACCTTCTGTAATGAAACCCATACAAAACCTAGCAAATGTAAGCAATGGGGTCATAAGAAATGGACTGCGACATTGTAAAGAATCCCAGAGGGGCAGATTTGGTGCATAGACCGAGGTCCCCATGCTTATTCCAGTCCCTGCTCCATTAGTGATATAGAATGTTGTCTGAGTGCAACCAGTTCTCCTTAGAATGATTATCACATGTGCTTTTGGGAAACCCTCTTAGTCAATAAAACAGTCCAATTTTTCTTAAGCATTAACACCAACTAATGGTGTAGGCAGGTCTGAGCCCCTAGAGTAGGTGGAAAATAAGCACTGTATATACTGAAAAAAGGTTAAGCACTTCTTGATTTTGCTGCACTACAATCCCCATAATCCTCGACTCTTGGTCATGCAGGCAGGGTCTGAGGGAGATGCACCCCTACAGAATTAGGAGAAGGGCTACAGGCTCAAGGAGTGATGCTGATAACATGCTTCAATAGGACAGGAACCCGCTTCATGTTTTATGTCACAAACCTCAGGGCATGATTCCCATGTCCCTTGTCAGCTTTCAACGCCTTGCTTAGAGATGTCTGCCTCATGCCCCCAAGACCCCTTTGTTTATACAAGTACTGTAATTGGAAATGAATCAAGAGTCCCACACAATTTACAGTGTCATTTTGGATTTAGTTACACATGAACACCCATGCAAACAGCTGATCTCTATAAGACTGCAACACATATCTTACTGTTCTCAAGTTTCAGTGTACTGTTATATCAGAGTGTGAAAAAAATAACATAACAGAAGGCCAGCATTTAACCAGTGAGAAAGTGGCTTGCAAAGCACCATCCTCTGCAGAAACTGGAGCTCTTAGATCTCAACTGCTCTGGAAAAATAGAGAAAGCTCTGGTAGCAGGGAATGTGATATGTAGCTGCAGCCCAATGTGTGTTTCCACTGTGCCTGTCATAAACCAGGCTGATTTTTGCAAGGTGGAAGAAATGCTCCTCATCAACCCTTCATTTCGATTTAGTCAACCTCAGGTAGCTGCAAATGCATGTATACTGTACATAATTTGCATAAACAAATTAGAAATTAATAAGAGAAACAGAAAGGGGCTCACAGTGGTCTCCCTACTTTGCTTCAGCAACATGAGTCCATCCGGAGGCCTAAGATCATCACATTCCCAACATGGCTCAAAAAGTTCCAGAGCAGTCACCCAAAGGACCCTATTTTCAAATACTGCTCCAGATTTTTTTAAAAAAAAAACTCAGTTTAGGGAAGTTACATGGTGTTTGAATCTGCTTAAGCAGGTTTGGAATCGATTTTAAAATGTCTATTTACATACCTTACAGCTCAGCACACTTCTTTCTTTCTTTCTTTCTTTCTTTCTTTCTTTCTTTCTTTTGCCAGAAAATGTGTTGTTGTTGTTTTTTTCAGATGCAAGGTAGAATAACAGGAGCTTATTTATTTGTACTCGAAAGTGGATTCCTTTTGAATCCACTTGGCTTATGTGAATGCCTTTATCACAGTAAAGACACTTTACTCTGTGTCTATGGGGTCTGTCAAGTAATGGATGCCAGAATCGCAGGTTTCAGGCTGCAGGAAACATTGCAGTTCTTTCTCTCTCTCTCTCTCTCTCTCTCTGTGCGTGTGTGTGCGCGCGCTTCCCATCTGTTATACTGTAATATGCCAGTTTGAAAGAATTCCTTTTTTTTAAAGGCAGCCAGCCTTTTTTTAAAAGGTAGCCTCTAGCCCAAGCCTAGAGGCTGCTACGCTTTGTCCATTTCTCTGGTCAATTTCTCTTGCCTTCCCTCTTCCCAGCAGTTCCCTCCCTCTAATGAACGAAGGCAAGAGAAATTGACCAGAGATAGTGACAAAGCCAGCAGTTTCTAGGCTTGTGAAAGAGGGAGTACTTTCCCTCTTGCAATACTGACATAGCAATATGCCAGTTTGAAAGTGAAGCAAAAACATTGAAAAGAACATCAGAGTAGCAGCAAGTAACCAGTGTGGGGGGCAACTGGGTGCAGGACAAAGCCTCAATTGCAATGATTTTAAAGCCCGTATAGCCCCCTCAACACAGCTAACAATGGTTTAAAAGGTTTCCCAAGTGAACACATACATCAACCCCAATATCATGTGACTATCATGTGGCTTTAACTCAATTTTTAAAACTCTAATTCAGCTATTGATGCATATTGTGGTGTAACATTGCTCTTAGGAATCATGAGGTATTAGCAGCATAAAATTTGTTATTAATGCAACTTAAAATGTATCTTTGTTTAGCCATATAAAACAGCAAAATGTCCCCCACCTCACTTCTTTTTTTGCAAATTGTTTATGATCAGAGATGGAGATGAATATAAAAATGAACCAGCAAATTTGTCAAAAATTGCTGATTCGTTGATTCGGGTTGGTTTGGATTTGTCCAAACTGGAGAACCTGAACTTTCCTGAATCAATGCATTTTTTCCTGATTTAACAAACTTGTTTCCCCCATCGACAGCCTGCCCTGCCTCCTTCCCACTGCCCCCTGTTGCCTCCCTACCTTGTCCTGCTGCCTCTTCAACCACCATCCAGAAAGATAGCAGCCCATTTCCTTCTGGGAGCCCGGTCTGCTATCTCTGTATCTGCACAGGCGCTGTCTCTCAGCTGAGAGGCGGGCACATTTGCAGAGACAACCAGCTGGCTGGCTGATTGGGGGGGATTAGCTGGCTTGTGAGCCCACCGGGGGGCCTCTGCACAGCTCCCCGCCTCCATCTGCAGATGTCACTGGGCTGGCTGACCCACAGGATAAGTTTTAAAAAATTAAGTTTTTTTACGGCCAACTTCTCAGCCCACCAGGGGGACTCTGGACAGCTCCTGTCCTCTCAGCTAAGAGGCAGGGGGGCTGTGTAGAGCCCCCCTGGCAAGCTGAAAAGTAGCAGCAGCAGCAGCATTAGCATTAGCAGTATTATTAGTATTATTAGTATTATTAGTATTATTAGTATTATTAGTATTATTAGTATTATTAGTATTATTAGTAGTAGTAGTAGTAGTAGTAGTAGTAGTAGTAGTAGTAGTAGCAGCAGCAGCAGCAGCAGCAGCAGCAGCAGCAGCAGCAGCAGCAGTAGTAATAGCAGCAGCAGCAGCATTAGCATTAGCAGTATTATTAGTATTATTAGTATTATTAGTATTAGTATTAGTATTAGTATTAGTAGTAGTAGTAGTAGTAGTAGTAGTAGTAGTAGTAGTAGTAGTAGTAGTAGTAGTAGTAGTAGTTAGCCATGTGCATGTCTCTACCTATTATTTATTTATTTATTCTATTTATATCCCGCCTATCTAGTCGATTAAGACCACTCTAGGCGGCTGAGAGGTGGGGACATGTGCAGAGGCCACCAGTCCATGGAGCTCTCTCAAAATGGTGATGGCGACAGGAGGAAGAAAAGGTAGGGAGGCAAAGGGGAGGCAGGCTGTGGGGACGGGGAGGTAGCTGGGCTTTTTCTTTTTCCTAGACAGCCACTGGTCTGTTAAAAAAAAATTCCCAAAGGAACTAATGATTTGATTCATGGTTCATTTGGGAATAAGTCCTAAATTTGCAGTTTGTGGACAAAGATGAATAGCTATTTTGGCAGTTTGTGCCCATCTCTATTTATGATTTTATATAATACATGCCCAGCGAGACCTAAGAGGTCAATCTCAAAACATTTACAAACAGTCAGCCTCTGACTCTAATTGCTAGGTCTGTGTATCTCATCCAAAACTGCACAACCCATTATTAAGTTTTTATATGCAACAGCAACAAAAGAAAAGCTCTATAAAGCATGTTTGCTGATTCAAAACAAAGCATCTGCCCTGCCGCCTTCATCTAGAATCTAGATATCACCAGTACAGAGACTTTCCAAATCTTTTCAGTTTGCATTCATGTTGCAGTACCCATAGATATTGCCTGATACCTGCACATGTTTATTCAGAAGTTAAGTCCCTCAAAGCTTGATGTTTGGAGGCCCATTCTCCGAGTGGAAATCCTTGGACCTAAAGGAATGGAATACTCCTAATTTAGCACCAGATTTTGGGATTAACTCTCATGCCTTCATTAGTTCCCATTTAGATACATTCAATAGCACTCTTGTTCCCCCTACCTCCCCCAATTATTTTGGATGCAATAGAGGTGGTTGTAGTGGTGGAGGAGCTTCTGGTATTCTCTTCTTTCTTTGTCTGCCAGATGGACACCACTGTTGCTGAAGGGCCTCTGCCTTGTGATATCAGAAAAATGTATGCTAGATCTCGGGTTTAGACTCTACAGAATGGGATGCTGCTGACCTGGCAAGTGGCAGTCTTATCCCCCACTCATACTGTCACTTAGAAACACGGGCATTTAGAGAGAGAGATGTACAGTAATCATCAACATATCCCTCATCACCCACTCATACTGTCACTTAGAAACACGGGGATTTAGAGAGAGAGATGTAATCATCAACATATCCCTCATCCAGAGCAAAATGTTACCCTTCAGAATGGTCCAATCCTACCTTTCTGTAACTGCCACTTTGGCACCCTTTGATTCAACTCAGAGCAGCTGAGGGAGAAGTCACCTAATTTGGCTTTATGACTCCAGTAATTATGCTATATGTTATCAGTGTTTAATGGCATTCTTCTGGAACAGAAAAAAACCCACACTTTTCCGAACTTCCTTTGTGGGCTTTAAAATTTATCTGTATACTCTTAAACTTCACATTAGACTCTCAATATTATTCCCTTAACCAGCTTATTATTATTATTGCAGTGCAGGTCCTGGATAATATATTAGTCAGACTCCTATATATGGTCTGTGTAACTTGCCACATCTAATTGTGGCTAACTGAGCAGATGCCGGGGCTCATCTCAGTTGCACCATCAAGTGTGTGATTCGGCAGACAACCAAGATGTGAATAAGAACTTGTCAATCAGCCACAAGTACTTCCAGTGACTTTACTAGAATTCACCAGAAGCTCTTTTTAGTTTTTTTTTCAGGCTAAAGGAAAAAAGGGTGGGAACACTGACCAGTTATTGTTTCTGAAGTGGTTGAACTGCAGTACTGCAACCAAAACTCTGCTCAATCCCAGGTAGCCAGCTCAATGTTCACTCCACTCTATCCATCAGAGGCAAGTAAATTGAGTATACAGTGTGCTGGAAGGGCAATGTGTAGTCTACATCACTGGTTCTTAACTTTGGGTTACTCAGGTGTTTTTGGACTGCAACTCCCAGAAGCCTTCACCACCAGCTGTGCTGACTGGGGTTTCTGGGAGTTGCAGTTCAAAACCACCTGAGTAACAAAGGTTAAGAACCACTGGTCTACATAATTAAATTGTAAACTGCCTACAGAATGTTTTAAACACCAAGGGGCAATATATAAGCACCACACTTTGCTTTGCTTTGAAATACACTGGGCCTATTCTTTCTTTCAACCTGTCTTCTGGAAGTCACCATTCTGAGAATATCCTCCATCATTTTGCTTCTTCTTTTTACCTCAGAACTACGTACTAGGCTTCAGTGCTGCTGTTTGCCTTCTACTACTATCAACCAGCCTAGTATCTCATAAAGAAAATGGGTTGCTGGGTTCCTTGTAAGGGGCAGCAAGCCTTTACAAGGAACCCAGCAGCTCTTTTCCCACCTGTTTCTTACCAGGAGGATAGGAAGAAAAAGTTCTACATTTACCAAGTGTATGAGGATGAAATCAGCACTTCCGTGACTGGCAGAAACTCTGTAGGTGGAGATTCTCTCCCCACATGGAAATGGCATCTGTACTCACTGAAGTTCTGTCTGTCAAAGAATTGAAGTACAGGCAGAATAGCAGCAGGTGCTGTTTCTATCCTCATGTTCTAGCATCGTGCTAAATGATATGCACAAGCTGTACATTTTGAACGCTATTCCTGAAATGGCATTTATATAGTTGTGTTTTCCACAACATACTTCAGAAATCAAAGCCATACTCTTACTCAACAAGTAAGGCATTTTATAGCCTTACTAGATGGCCACCTTCTTCCAACCCACCAGCTTTCTGTCGCATAATTCATGCTGGACTCTCACCTTCCTTTCTCTTTCTCTTTCTCTCTTTCTCTGTCACACACACACACACACACACACACACACATCACAATCACATGCAACCTTCACCAAGGTTGCAAAGGTACTTAATCCGACCAGCTATGTGGGATCAATCTGCTGAGTCATTTCTGATTTGTGCAACAGATCCCCTGACCAAGCTGAGAAGATTAAAAGTCTAAACACACGTATTTAAAGAGCTGTCAGATCACTTTTTCCAGAGCAGCACCAAAAAATCCAGGATGACTTTCAATAGAGGCTACAGGAAATGAATTAAAGCATGTTTCTTCACTAGGTCCTGGAATGAATTTTTGGAAGCTAAAAACACTAAATATGTTCTAGGATAATGCCAACAAGGATGCAGAATTCCAATATCATATCTAGGAAATTCACAGCTCTGGGTCACAGTCTAGACATCCATGTGTTCTGATGAAAAACAACACAAATCAAGTCAAAACTTCTACAGCAAATTTAGATGCTCAAAGTACTGAGAATGTTGTCATTTTCCTTTAATTTGTATGGCTGGCAAGGGAGTAGAGCCTGAGCTTGTACTAGTGATGTTTATCTAAGGCTTAAATCAGGGCAGAGGTTCACCAAGGGAAGCTGTATGTTGCAACAGATGGTTAGCTGCACCATCAGCAGATTACGTCTTATGGTTCCAATTCAAACTGAGGGAAGAAATATGTGCACATACCAAGACAATGGGAAGGCAGTATTGGCTATTAACAAGAGACAGCTCCCTGCCCCCAGGAGATGGACTAACACCCTACCCAAGACAGGGCAGGGTAGCTCCGCTATCATTCCCATATAAGCATGCGTGCCCAAAGCAATACAAATGGATTTATAGGCATGGATACTTCAGTACAAAAACTTTTCGTAGAGCAGCAGATAGCAAACAATGTGTGCAGCACCAGTAATATCTCTACACATCAGCTGTTAATAAATGTAAGCCTACAGGATAACACCCATCCCTTAGAGAACTACAGTCAATGTCAAATATTACACCATTCCCAGACAGCGACTGCTGTTCTATTCTCCTGTTCCCCCACCCTGCTGCACAACATCAGGCTTAATCTGTCAGATCGTAGCAAAGCCAGACAGATTTAGTTAGGATGGAAACTTTGGGCTATTAATGGAGTAGATTTACTCACGCAAAGATGGCTGATGAAAATAATGTAACAGAAGTCAATGTAGCATTCAGGACTGACTGGGGGTGGGGGGCTGAAGCGGGGGGATGTCAGATATTTGCTGCTTGGGAAGAGGAATGGGTGAAGAAGAACCACACACAGGCAGAAGAGGGACGACGAACTAGTGATCTAGTAGCATTCAGTCTGTGGAACAATACATTCTTCTCTTGCTACCTCTGTAGCCTCTTATTGCTTGGTGGCATTTAACAACTGGAATTCAAAAGGTTATCAGTAACACAGAGACCCATGGGTTATTCCCATAGCAGCCAGTGTGAAAATAAATGAAGTCCATAGCTGAGTAAGGCTTTGGATTCTCCAATATTCCGGGTATATTTTTAACAGAAATTTCAGTGGAAGCTTCCATAAAGCCATCCATTTTAACCGCTCCTGTCTTGCTTCTTTTTTTTTTCTACACAGGCTGAAACAGACTAAGAGGGCTCCCTGTCTGCAAATTTGTCCAATGCTGTCACATATGTTTCAATTTTTTTTAAAAAAAAATCTCAATTCATCTTCAAAGCATGGGGACTTTTGTTGTTCTTTGCAGAAAAGATTTGTAACAACCAGAAGCAAGTAGCATTTTAGCAACACTGTATAATGTTAAAAGTAGGCAATCAGCCTTTTATTTTTCACTAGCTCTTCTATCAAATCCATAAAGAAAACTGTTTTCATATACTGTACAATGTACACATTCCTTAAGGCTGCCACAATAATATCAAGGGCTTCTGCCACCCTAGTACAGGAAACAAAGTTAGACTTGAGTCTTGCTGGAAATAAAAAACAAGGCACTCACACACTTTACAGTTTGTGCCCCATTTCAGCAAATGGTGTAAATAATCAAGCTGTTGATTTCATGAGCAGTGATGGGAGAATGTGGAACGTGCATTTTTATTTCTGACTGTGAAGACTAACCATGTACAAGGGTCATTTTCAAGTGGGGGGAGTACACCTGGCTACAGTTCTCTGAACTAATACTGTATATTGCTTTCACAACACTGTGTACTGAAATACTCTAGCATCACAGCCAGGAACACACTGTGATAGTTCCATGACAAAATGCTCATGCATCCTCTGTAAAGTAAGTTGGAAGGTCAGTTTAGCTAGCAGAAGCTACCTTCCATTCCAGCCCTACCATTTGGCAGAGGAAGGCAATTGATCATGGAGTGCCCATGGGGGGGGAGAGCAAACTGTTATACATTTAACATTATTATTATTATTATTACAGTGGTGCCTCGCATTACGACGTTAATTCGTACCAGCGAAATTGCTGTAGAACGAAAACATCGTAATGCGAAATTAAAAAGCCAACAGAAACACATTAAAACCCGATTAATGCGTTCCCAGGGCCTTGAAACTCACCGTCCATCGAAGATCCTCCATAGCGCGGTCATTTTCACTGCCTGTGCAGCGAGGAATCGATCCCAGAAAAGAGCGGGGAGCCATGTTTTTTACCCGGAGGTAAAAACATGAAACCACTGATCAGGTGGCCGAAAATCATCGCTTTGCGAGAATTGGTTCCCGAAGCAGGGAACCGATCACCGCAAAGCGGTGCGAGGCACCACTGTATTACTACTACTACTACTACTACTACTACTACTACTACTTACTTACTTACTTACTTACTTACTTACTTACTTACTTACTTACTTACTTACTTACTTACTACTACTGATTTTTTTAACACGAAAGGAAGGAAAGAGGCAGTTTTTGGGATTTCATGCTTCATCCTAGCAGGTCTTCAGTAGAGAGAGCCATTTATTTATTTATTTATTTATTTATTTATTTATTTATTTGATTTGATTTGATTTGTATCCCGCCCATCTGGTCTGGTCAACCACTCTGGGCGGCTTCCAATAAATATTTAAAATAACACATAAACATTTGTTCCTCTGTCTCAGGGAGCGCCTGTCTTGCCCAGCCATATCATCATCCCCTGATAGAGAGGGGTCATTAGTTGGTTGTTTTCAGGAACAGCCCACACCGGCGCAACTCTGTAGGGACAATTTCTAAAACTCTGGTTTCTAATTATATTAGTAAGTGTAGCTCTGATAGCTCACAAAAAGAATGATAAAATGTCCCACATATAATTCAAGTATTTTTCATTTTTAGGTTATCCAGTCAGTGGCATGACTGGTGCGTCAGAGGATGGACAACTGTTCTTTTGGCAGACACATCCAAGTGCTAAAGCAACTTAAAAATAGAGACGTCTCTTGCTGGTCTTTGTCACTTTTGCACGTGTTCTCTCTCACAAACTTGTTGTTCACTCACAAAACCATCATGTTCCATTTCTGCATTTATTTTGAACCCATATGCTTAAATATAAGCATTTGAACATATGGCTTGAAAACTATTTCCTTTCAATGAACATTTTCAATGCATTTTTATCCCTCCAACTTTTCTTTTTTGAGCTAATAAGCACATGGGAACATTTCCAACTGGCAGAAGGACAGAAAAACTCTACAAATAGGACTTTTCTTAATCACGTTCTGATCTGAATATTATACCTGAAAGAGGCAAATGAGGTCAGCTCTCAAGAGATCAGCTCTCAAGAGATTGCCCCCAAGATCAAAGTTTTCAGGGATCACACATCTGTACATGGGCCTTAACAGAGCTGCATGCAATCTTTGGGTTGAGCAGGAATGAAACAAAATCTCAGGATAAAAAAAGTACTAGCTTCCTTTTATTTAATTTACAACATCCAATCCTCTCTGTTGAATTGAGGTCTACAATATTGTTAGCGACTGTACTTCACCAAACAATGTTAAAATCTCTACCAAGAGACATGAAAGTGGGTGCTGGGTGGTTGTAAAAGGGTGTAAGTTCGATTCATAAAGGACAGGGCTATCGGGACCTGTTGGTTTTACCATGGCTATAAGGAACTTCCATGTCCAGAGTCACTATGCAACTGAATACAGCTGGGATCAAAGGGGGGGGGGACATTGTTCCCTCCTTACTGTGTGATTAAGCTTTCCATCAGCATCTGTGAAAAAGAGGATGCTGGATGAGATGGACCTTTGGTCATATTCAGAGTTTGGAAAAGTCACTTTTTGGAGTGCAAGTGGCAAAATACCATAGCCAGCAAGGCCACTAGCTGGGTGATTTTCTGGGAGATAAATTCCAAGAAAAGCTTGAGTAGATCAGGCACACTCCATTTTCATCAATAATTAAAAAATGATCAAACTTAGTAAGTTAAGGCAAACTTCTATTGCTTCAGAAAAATTCATTTCAAATATCTATCCTTACAATTCATATCTTTATTTGGATGAAGGCATCTCCCTGTACATTAAGAGTGACTTTAATTCATATGTAGGGGAAGCTCATGGGCCAAGCACGATAAAAGTACTAGTTTCCTTTTATTTCCTCACCCCAAAAATTCAGGGAGTGCTCCTTTCTCAGGTCACAAGCCATCTGTGACCCTGTGTCTACTATTGTTTCTAAATCCACTGAAAATTAAATGTAGCAAGAATAAGAAACACTGTATGCCTATGCAAATGAATTAGAAAAGATACATTCAGGAATTCATAGGCTTGTACAGTATGTACTAAATAATTTCCTGTAACTGAAATGCAACATCATTTCTAACAGAAGATTACACAGCAATCTATAGTCAGATGTCTATAGTCTTAAAATTTTCGACAGACAACTATTCAAAATCCAGGAGGCAACATACAGAAAAATATTAACATACTCATATCTCAGCAAAGATGAATAAAGATCACACAACAAGCAGGAAAGTGTGAAGGGGATGTTTTAAGCTGCAAAATATGAAGCATGGCATTTGTTACCTACTGCCACAGATAGTGCTTTTCAAAACTTGTGTACTTTACAGGGGATGCATCCTAATATCAAGAGCAATTTTACTGGTGTTTTCTTACAATTGCCTGCTTCCCTGAAGTATTGAGAGGCTGGGCAAACATGCAATAATACCTCCAGAGAATGATCTAAAAAACACTGAATACAAGAGAAACAGCTACATTCATGCAAAGAGTTTCTGCTGACAGAAAGATAGTGGAAGGCCTCCTTGTATTCACAAATAGATCCCTTCCTGGATCACAAAGGAGGCACACAAGCTATAAATTTCCAATTCAGCAACAGCTATTCCATTTTAGGAAGAGGAATTACAGCTCTAATAGAATCTATATCCACCTTGCTGTCTTGATAGTAATACCAGTTTTTCCTATCTCATAATGAAAGTTCAACAGGATTCTTCTTTATTTATGTACCTTTAGAACAGATTCTTTGCAAAAATGGAGAGCAATGGATTCAAATGCCCCTTTTTCCCCAAACACTAGGCATAGGAATAGGAAGGAACCAAGGAAAAAAGAAGCCTGTTAAGCCTGTTATCTTGTATCCAATTGGTTTTCTAAATTAGGCATTGACATTTCCCTGAACCAATGTCAGTCCCTCGGGGAAGCCTCCATTACAAGGCCTGTTCACATTGCATCTAATTATAGATTTTTAACTATGGAGGGAATGAGTATAAAAGGATTATAGGATGGTTCTGTCACTTCCTATTCCACTTTCCTGCATGCTCCATACACAGTTGGCCTTCAGGAGAATAATTCTAACGACGAGGCATTAAGCAGCCCTGGTCTAAAATGTATCTAAGAAGTACAATCCTATGGTAACAAAATGAAGCAGGACTGTTTCCAGAACTTTAATTTGGACAGAGAGATGGGAGCAAGGAATCTGGTTATCACCAGAAGCTAATCTCATAAGCCCCTGCACAGGATGACCCTAAAAGCTGGAACCCATGTTATCTTCCACAGTGTCACCTGACATTCAGCCCATGGGCTAGAGATCCAGCCCCTTTGAATCTGGCCCTTCTATCTCTTTAGCCCACAGCACAGTGACCGATACAAATGGCATTCATTTGTCTCAGCCTAAAACTGCCATGAGGGATTTTCAATCAGAAGGGACCAAACATGAGAAAAAAGAAACTATTGAAAAGAGTATTGAGAGGAGGAATAGGAATGTGGCAGGATAACGAAAGACAGGATGATCAAGAAAGTGGCAGAACAAAAACTGGCAGTCCCTCACTCATCCTTTTGTATGCACACTACAAGATATTTTCCCCAAGGGAATATAGTCCTCCAGATGGAAATAACTCCCACATTCCTGCCTTTAAAAAAAAAATCAAACATTTCCCCTCAATTTCTATTTCTCACTATATAAACCACTCCACACACACATACAAAAGGGTGACACACATAATTTTCACTCCATATTTAACTGCCTAACAGTGTTTGGCAGCAGTTAAATTACCAAGGAAATGTTAATGATGGGGGTGCGGGTTTGATCCCAGGTTGCAATGTGAGGAGCAAAACAGAGGTGGGAACATAAATCAGATGTATTTGTTTGTTTACAGTTAAGCATGTGGCACAGAGAGGGAGACAGAACAAGAGAAAGAATGGCTGCACTTATGCAGTGGAATCCTGTATCAAATTTGCTACCTGCCTCCAGAACAGATACCACATTCACATCAAGAACCTTGCGTTCTTTTTTTGAGGCTGAGGGCTGATCAAACA